TTTTTTTCCCTGAACCAAGTAAAATGGCAAGAGGGATGGCTCCCTTCATTGCGGGCTGTCTTGCTCAGTGACTTGCAGCTTTGCGGGCTCGAAAAAGCTAGTATTGTCATGCTGGTGCTTCTGGAAGCAAAAGCAAGACGACCTTCCTGGGGATTCGTGTCTTAAATGCGAACCTCAATAATGCTGAAGAGCAAAGAATGTGTCGAAATGAGACACCCATCTTTGGTAGACTTCAAAAGGAAGAAGGAAGCACGCAGAATTTCTGGCATTCCTTTCCAATTGTTTGACAGCTTGTTGGTTTCCTTGAGCAACCCTCAAGCTCCTAGGTTTTGTCGGGGCAGACCTTGTAAGTTTGACCGAGGCCTGGCCGTGATGATGCCGAAGACCGGACGGTTGAGCGGTGTCTTTGGCCGGCTACTGAGCTTTGGGGCAGGTGCTGCAAATGACCCGCGCTGCTTCGGATGTGAAAGATGGCCCTGTTTGTTGGGGTTGCACGGAAAGGGACGCTCACAATTCAGTAAATGCTTCCAGTCCATGAGGGACAATCGGGAGAAAGGAGGGCGGCTGGGGGGAATCAGGACCATATTCCTACAAATGTTTCTGAGCACAGCACATGTGAGCTGCCATGGATGTCCACGTCCAAGGACATGCTGGCAAAAAGTCAGAACGGTGTTGTTGTCTTATTTTACCTGTTGCCATCTGCTCGTCGCTCGAGGGGTTTTGCATACTCTTAGGCACGGCTCCTTATATGGCACCAGAGATGCTCCGCAACGAAGGGTATGACTTCTTGGCGGACGTGTGGTCCATTGGCAGGGCCAGCACGTTTGCAGGGGCAGAATTTGAACTCGGCCAATTTGCTGGCGAATTGTGCTTCATGGATAGGTAATCCTTCCAAGCTTCTTGAAGGTCCCGAGCGCCGCTCATCCGTCCGACTTCGCCAGGCTCGGTAGCTTACTTGCTAGTCTTCGGCAGCTTCCCCTACTCGCCTGCAGAGGCGCACCGGGGGAGTTTTGGGCCCTCTGGCTATGACTCTGCGACAGGCGAGTGCGCCTGCGATGAAGAAGGCCATCATCGAGGAGCCGAGCGGAGGGTTCATTCGAATGTGAGGTTTGTTTGCAGGCAAGCAGGTTGGTGCCAATCAACCGCCCTCCACCAAAATGCTGCAAGCAGAAGCTCAGAAGCAGAGTCAAGTTGCTAGCGACATCCTGGCTGGCTTCCTTAGTTTTGAGCCGCACCTTTTGCCAGGATAGCCCGCCGCTAAAATTCCCCTCGCTGAGCCACGACCTTAGCGCTGGGCATGGGATGTTGGCCTTGGTTTGTCGGTTGTGCTCAGCATATCAGGGCATCGCAGGTTTTGGTCTACTTGCCCATTTACCAGGGTTCCATTTTGGGGCCCTTTTTTTGAGCCACAGCCACTAGGCACACTAAATCAACCATGTGGGACTTGAGGACGGCACATGCAAGCAGTGTTGTCCCTCGCGTGAGCTGAGAGCATGTGGTGACCAGAAAAAAGTCTGAGGCGAGGCGCAGGGAGTGGCCTGGAGCTTGGTCGAGTCCACAAGCGGCTCTGTTTTTGTTGGTTCTTCTTGCTTCTGCTTTTGCTGCAGTTGCAGTTTCTGTCGTGGTTGCTCCTGCTCGTTTTGTTGCTGCTGGAACTTTGCGATTTGTGGAGCCGTTCATTGGCAAGGACGCCGATCGGTGGAGCTTGTGTCCTTTAGGTGCAAACAGGGCCTCCAGCTCCTTTTGGGACTGGCTGTGGGTCAAAACCAATGGGATCCCATCTTGGGGTAGGTGAATTCACCACCCATTTGAGAACCTATTTCAGTGGAGATTGGGATGTTCACTGGGGGTACGGGATGTTGACCCATGGCAAAATTTGGCGGCGCCATTCTGCGCCCAGGTGGCCGGCTCCTTGGGTGGGGCTTTGGATTTTACAAAGGCCGGGGGGGCGGGGGGGTTGTGGTGGCTTCCCCCCAGCGATTTGCGGCTGGGAACACGAGGTCGCCATTGTCGGTGTTGGGGTCGCAAGGGCGAACGGCGCGCGTACTAACTACCCCAAAGTCATGCCGGGGGGGGGGGGGGTTGCGTCAAATGAGAAAGTCGCTGCCAGATGCTTCTGAAAAGAGCGTCCAAAGAGCGGCCAACAGCTGCAGAGGCCTGGGCGTTGGCATCTCGTGGTTGATCTCGTGGTTGCTTGTTCCATTCCAAATCCGAAAGGTAAGGCTGCCACTCGTTACAGTAACGATAAAAGTAAACATCCTGCTCTAAAAGCTTTCTCGAATCTCTGCCCTCCGCAACTGTGGGGGGCAAACTGGGCAGAAGTCTTCAGCCTGCGGGCGGAGCTTTCGCACTTTTCCCCATCCGAGATCCTTGCGACTCGTGGGACTCGCGCAGTGCTGGATCAGGCGCTGAAGCACGAGTTTGTGGCAGAGAAGGTGGCGGATCAAAACGCGGAGAACGAGCTGATGGTCCGCGCGCAGCTCAGGAGTCAGACGGCCAAGACTCAACTTTACAGAAACCAGGAGAATCGCCAACTCGCCCATGTGCATTCATAGCATACCATGGCATATTTTGACCGTGATAATTCTCCAGGCAAAAACGTGTCCAAAGCCAAGAAGGTCACTCAGCAGATTCAGCTCATGCGGCCCAAGCGCGACTCCACCGCCCTCCTGGCGCGTTTAAATTGCCCGGCCACGCATGGTCAATCTGTGCCTCTTTGAAAAGTGTCAAAGTGAAGCGTCCTGAAACGGAATAATCAATAGCCTTGGACCGTGGCACGAATGGGCGTGCTTTGGCCTGTTTGGATTTCACATGCCGAGCCTGGCGCCAGGTTCAGCACGGTATCGACGACTTGCTGAAGAAGCTGATCACCAAGTTTGGAGGCGCGTGGGAACCGGGTCCGACAAATTCCGAACTGGGCCAAGTCTATTTTCACGTTGGAAGTGGATGTGGGAAAACCATCGTTTGGCTTTTGGGTCAGCAACACATGTGAGGTGGATGTGATTGCTCAGGAGACATGAGCGGATCCAACATTTTCTTCTCCGAGGGTGATGAGAAGCTGACCACCGAAGAGGAGGAATTGGCTGTGGGTCAAGATTAGGGTAACCCCAAAACGTAACCCTGGCAAATGGAAGCATGAACCAAAACCTGCGGTCCCCTGGTAGTTTAATTTTGACCCATACCCAATTAGCAGTCTGAAGTGTGTTTGAGGTCGTTCAAGTTGCGTTGCGTACCTTGTAGGACACGCCCAATTGCGAGCCACGCGTGAAACGGCGAAGCTCAAGACGTGCATCCCTCAGATCAACGCGAGCGAGGGTTGCAGCGAGAGAGGAAGGAGGAGAATTGACTTGCACTTGCTATTGTCAGCTTGACACGAGCGCAATTGTGGCCAAGGTGACGTCAAGCACTCGACACACTCCGGAATCATTGACCAGTCGGGGGGGTTCAAGTTTGACAACATGAGCCGCAGCCTGAAATGCTTTGAACAGAAGCGCAGGTTGTTTGATCATCGAGAGGGGAGATGCGAACACAGATGCAAGAGAGGTTCTTGACTGCAATGTCCGTCATTAGGCCCGGTCAGCAGCATGACTGGAGCGCGAACTGGCAAGAGCTTGCCTGGAGATGTCTGCGACTGAGCTTGTGGCCAACGGTGGCCTGATCCCAGCCTCGAAGTTACGGCGGGCAGATCTTGATGGACGCCTTGAGGGTTCGGTTTGA